TCTTGGTGAATTAATATCATTGAGAACATTAAATCCTGTCTTGAAATCTTCAGAAATTCTGTATACAGTATTGCTGTCAAAGCAACAGACAAGAAGTGATCCATCCTCCAGACTGATTATCCCAGAAGGTGATTGGATATTCTCGTCTTTGTAAATACTTGCTACATTTCCATTGGTTGTGAGGCGTACAATGTTACTTTTAACAAACGAAACTGTCACTTACATATACATATTTTTAGAGTCTGCACTTACAGCAATACCAACTGGAAACAGTCAAGTCAATGGTAGATGTTTTCAGTGGAATTTCTGTGCACTGTTCCATTAAGATCTAATACTAACACACTGTGTGGATCCCAACAAAAAACATACAGCATTCCCTTGGTTATATGTGACATTATAAACACGTTCTATCTAGTTGAACAGTTCGAACTAGGGATAGGTCATCATAAGTCTTGAAAATTTGAACTGCTTTTCATATTTTTCATCGCAACAAGCTAACTTCATCTTGAGACATTAGACCAACGCCACGTGGGCCTCCCGGTTTCCTGTCTTTCTTTTAATCAAACGGTCATTGTTGATATCAAAAACAGTTTAAGTTTGTAGTTCATTTCATCTGCAAGTAAAACTTTATCTGGTGAATAAATGAGCATCCTGCTATGGACGCAGTTAGTTACATCTGATAAAGTTTTTATTTTAATGTCCCTTAAATGCTGTAAAGGAGCTTACAGAACGAGTCGTTCTCCAATGTCCCAAATAAAGTGTTTTTAAATAATGGCAGTTTCTATCTCTTCGTTCCGTTTTGAAGGTGCATGTTGTTTTAAGTTTCCTTAGTACTGTTAAAAACTTTAGTGTTCTTTTCATCATCGGCTAGAGATTTTGCTTTCTTTACAAGCTATGAATATTTCCCTTTCCTTCCCGGATGTTTTGTTGTCTCTTAGACTGGCTTGAAGTTGTTTCATTTCTGAGGAAACTTTACGGCATTCTTCATGCGCTGTCTTTTTAATGTCCTTTTGTTTGATTCATTCATTTGTTTTGCATTTTTTCAACAGCTTTAGTTTTCATTTCTTTTATACGATTGATGATTAGGTACTCAAAGTCGTCAATATCTTTAAGCGCTTGAGTTAAACAATCATCTGCTTCTGTAGTTTTGTCAGAAATTTCTCTTGTCTAAATTTTTTGTTGCTTGTAACTTTAACTCCAGCATTTTCAACGTGTCATCGTACTCTTTACTGTCACCTATACCTTTACATGTGTCAGGGATATAGTCAAGTTCACATGTGTTCTATGCTTAAGAACCATACAATCTTGACATCCTAGTTTCTGTGTGTCTAGGACAGAAAAACTTGACAATTTCGGTGTCATGAAATGGGCAATTTATCATCTAATATAGATGTATTTTGTAGCGTCGGATCGTTCGTGTAATTTATGATGTTTTGACGCCTTTTTTGTTTTCCTATGAGAAGAAAAAGCACGAGCTGCATAAATATTCCTGGCAATCTTCACAATATCCTCGTGCTTTTACACTTTGACCATCAGTTTTACACGGATTCACAAAAATGATTTTTATCACTATCAAAACCAACCTGTGGTTGGGTGCCACTGCTTTTTCTTCCAGAAACCGCCATACTGACGAAACTTTACATGTGAAAATACTTCGTGTTATAACTTGACTCTTGTTTCGATTTTATAACCTTGTATGTTGTCCTGCTTTATTGTCCTGCTTTATAAGCATAATATACATTAAAGTTATCCGTTAAAACATATAACTTAAAACACTATTTATATTTTTCTTCAAATTGTTAGTTAAATAAAGTGTTCACTCGCAATTCTCAGAAAATAAAGTTCAACAAATTAACTCCCTCTTGTGATAAAGTACACACGGGAAAACTAGAGCATGAACTATCGTAAGACGTGTTATAGATAAAATGTTGAAGGTATTTTCTTTATCAGCACATTTATATTAATAAGATTTGATATTGAAATATTAAATACAATGATGTTTAACTTATACAAATAAAATTTGTAGATTGAATCTTCTAAAGCACATTTAAACATATTGTGAAACAAACGAGAAATTAAGAAATATAAGATTCAGTATTGATATATTGATTACAATGGTTGTTAAACTTACACAAAGGACTTGTTCTGCTTTATTTTAAAACAGATATCAAAATACAATGTACATGAATTTACATGAAATTGCTATTTTTTGAGAAGTTAAACAGTTAAATACAGTTGCAAATAAGTGGCATGTTCACCTGTGATTCCAGTTACTAAATGAAGGGGAGATTACTCCAGAAAAAGATTGTTTAACACAGTTATGTATATTGACACTCTTTATATTTTGTTTTAATTAGAAAAAAAAGTGTCATCTCACTGTATCTTATGTATCTTACATAAGAAAGAATATTTTAATTGTTTATAGCAGAAACAAATTTGGTTTTGTAGAACCTAAATGTATCCAAGTTAAATGACTTGACGTGATGAAATTTACTGAATACGGTATCACGTTCTCTCTATAATCTATAATAATATACTTAGCAAATAGTTTTGAATGATTATGTACATTTATGGCATTATCAAAATGTTGTCAATAGTAATCAATGTTTTGTTTGCATTTACCTTAAACAAAATATTTATGCAATGAAGTCAGTCAGCAAGAGTTATGAATGACTATTAAACAAAAACTATAAGTTCCAAAGCCATTTCTTCTAGATTCATAAGCGCCGAACACAAGACGCCAAGGTCAAGGTAAATGCTCACACGTATATAGGCCGTCATCATGTTTAACGTATAATACAATAAATGCAAATTATTCCATACGGTAATAGAGTACAGTATGAGTTTAATTAAATTGCGATAGTTTAGTTGCCTACATTTGTTCAGTTCTTATACCACTGTCGGGGACATATATATCCTTGAGCAAAAAAATTTTACACTCATTGCTCAGTACTGGTTTATTCCAGGAACGGATTCGAAAGTGTGTCTATAAGCTTATAGCTTCCTACGCAGTCGAACTAAAATAAATTCTGTATAAACCAAACTTCCTCTGTGTGTAAAGATTCACTAACTTGGTTTAAACCACTAGCACGTCAGTTTTTGTTGAGGCGGTATTATTTTCATTAAACCTGTCGTGCCAGGACGAAATACTGACCAACTAACACACAAACCTATACTTAAATATATACACATTAGTTTTATGCATATTCTGTTTTCAAATACATGAAGCAACCTTCACTCTCAAGCGGGCAATTTCAAATAAAACAATGTGCAGTATATAGTTTTGAAAGCCTTTGAACAATAAAGTAAATAACATGATTGTTTTTGCTTTGAAAATACAATTAACCATTGCTCATCAAAGTTTAATCAAATCATCAAACCAGGAAGTAAACTGAAAAGCTAGTCAACACGTTTTGTTGATTAAAAATTACCCCACCCCCACCATAGATAAAAATATATTAAATTGAATAAAGATAAATAAATAAGTTAATAAATAACAATGAAAACTAATGAAAATAAATATTATACAAAATGAATGAATGAATGAATGAATGAACGAACGAACGAACGAACGAACGAATGAATTAATGAATAAAATAAACAGTGAAGAGATAGACAAATTAAAGCGAAAGAAGGATACACTGTCGGAATTACGAAAACCCCCAAATAAAGTATCATCAGTTTTAGAAATTATGACTATGATACGTATTTCCTTTGAAATGTCCTCTATGTAAAACATAAACATGTAAGTTTCAAGGACTAAAATGTAGTATTTGAGTACACAGGGAAATTGCACGTACCAATAACAACTATAGTCATAAAAACTAATTCGTCGAAATAAATAACACCTCCTACACACTGTTTCACTTTCAATTTCTACTTAATTTTGTAATGACTCGGACATTTACATCACATCATCATTACCATACAATCGGAACTTCTCGGTTATTATCAATAATGAATGGGCCAAAAAGATGCGATTGCTTTACCATATTGAGAAACTCAACTACAGTAAAAGTGTTTTAATATTACAAGCATTTGAAAACGGAAGATCATAATATTTTTTTCTGATTTAACCAGCTTTCAGAATAATTTTCATTCAACCACACCAAAATATTTGTCATTCATCAAAGTGGGCGAAAATGTTGTTATAACTTTTTGGCCCAACCCCTTTTCTTATTTGCATTAATGTATTTATGTGAAATTGGTGTATTACTGTGAAATTTTATGTATGTATATAGATTATATAAAATTTTGTTAAACTTAAATTCATCCAAAGTCACATTATTTCTCATTCAAACTAAATCAGAAATCAGAACATTTTTTTTTATATCAGTCACACTATTTCTTTTTCAACCAAATCTCAAAGTGATTTAAACTTTATTTAAACAAACCAGAATATTCCTCTTTCAGCCAAATAGTAATATAGTTCCATATTTCTAATTCACCTTTTTTCAAAACTAATTTCCCAAAAGGAAACCAACAACAAAAAAGAATACCAATATTTCAATTAAAAAAAAATTTTATTTTTTAAACAAACCCCAAAATCGAAATTTCTAAAATTTTCGAAAAATTTTTTATTAATCAAAAAAATTTTTTTATTCCAAACCCAAAAATTTTTGAAGTTTAATTTTTTAACCTTTTAAACCAAATTCTCCAATAGAAAATTTTATTATTTAAAAAAATTAAAAGTTTTGGAAAAAAGTGTGGTTTTAAAGGAAAGAAATAAAAACATTTGCAAAATTCTAAACAATCTTTTAAGGCTTATTCTTTAAAAATTACCCCTTTTGTTTTTGCGGCCCCCGTAACAACAAAACCCAAACAAAAAAACAGTTTTTCTTTTTTTTTATAAAAAAAGTCAATCTTTTTGATTTAAGATTTTAAAAATCTGGATTTTATATTTTTTTACATTTACTGGGGGAAAGGGGATAATCATTGATGGGGATAGTTTTTTTGGTTTACCTAAAAAATTTTTCCCGGGTTTTTATATCAAAAAATGATATGATTGTTTTTAATAAATACAACACTGCATAATTGAATTCGAATAGTACTCGATTTTAAATTTGTCAGGATTGTTTGCTAGGTTAACAATGTATGGATTTTTTGAATGTTCCAACTGTAAGTCCCGATGGGAAAGTGCCAAGGTTTTTGAAAGACCTGGATCAACAACGGTAATTGTATTTTTAGTTTAAGCCTCAATGAATTTTCATTATCTTTATTTTGAATACAAAATATAACTGTTATTGCTTGAAATACTAAATAATGTATTGCTTATTTGTAACAAAAGGCTATGTCATATTGTATCAAAGGTTAACAACAAGAAAACGATAGATAAACGGAATTTGGCGTCTATTGCTCCAGTACTTGGTGTGGTACATTTAGTATTTGGTGCGGTACATCCAGTATTTGGTGCGGCACATCCAGTATTTGGTGTGGCACATCCAGTATTTGGTGCGGTACATCCAGTATTTGGTGCGGCACATCCAGTATTTGGTGTGGTACGGCACATCCAGTATTTGGTGCGGCACATCCAGTATTTGGTGCGGTACATCCAGTATTTGGTGCGGTACATCCAGTATTTGGTGCGGCACATCTAGTATTTGGTGCGGTACATCTAGTATTTGGTGCGGTACATCCAGTATTTGGTACGGCACATCCAGTATTTGGTGCGGTACATCCAGTATTTGGTGCGGTACATCCAGTATTTGGTGCGGCCCATCCGGTATTTGGTGCGGCACATAAAGTATTTGGTGCGGTACATCCAGTATTTGGTGCGGCCCATCCAGTATTTTGGTGCGGCACATCTAGTATTTTGTGTGGTACATCCAGTATTTGGTGTGGTACATCCAGTATTTGGTGCGGCACATCCAGTATTTGGTGCGGCACATCCAGTATTTGGTGTGGTACGGCACATCCAGTATTTGGTGCGGTACATCCAGTATTTGGTGCGGTACATCCAGTATTTGGTGCGGTACATCCAGTATTTGGTGCGGCACATCCAGTACTTTGTGTAGTACATCCAGTATTTTGTGTGGTACATCCAGTATTTGGTGTGGTACATCCAGTATTTGGTGTGGTACGTCCAGTATTTGGTGCGGTACGTCCAGTATTTGGTGTGGTACATCCAGTATTTGGTGCGGTACGTCCAGTATTTGGTGCGGTACATCCAGTATTTGGTGCAGCACGTTTGAAACGATTCAAGTATACATAATTTTCTATGGCAACAAAAAAAAACTTTTATTGTCCTCACATTTTCCTAATTTTGTTTTCTAGTACTGGGGGCAAGAGTGCAAGAAATGTAATATCATGTGTCAGCCATATAGAGTGGAGGAGACAATGTGCTCTCGTTGTGGGGAAGTTGCTAAAACATGCAAGTGTGACAAGACCCGTCATACCGACCCAAATAAACCACATATGTCGGCACTTTGTGAGAAATGTCGCTCGGGCAATCCATGTCAATAACTCTTTGAATGTAACCATGAAATCACGTGATAAGGGGCGGACAAAAATAATGATTACCTCAGCCCCGCCCATTTTCAATTTACGCTAAAACTTTTTTAAATATATTGAGACTGCTGATTAAAAGTCTTGTTTTGTTTTGTTATGATGTATGCACTGGGATATTTTATAAAATTCAAGCTGCTGTTTTGATGTATTGAGTGATGATTCAAATAACATCAACTGGGAGAGAATGTGCTTGGTATGGGTGCATTGAGTGGAAGTTCAACGAATTATGATATTTTAATTGGCAAAATTTATCTTAATTATGTAAAGAGTTTATATGATGAATAAAAATTGTATCATAATAATTGTAAAACCAGTCATATTTTACAGTGTCATGTATGTTGACTTTTGATATTGTGTCTGATTATGTAAATTGTCGGCTATGATCTAGTGTCATTTTTTTGAAACACATATCAAACTCGTTTTATAGCTTATTGATAACTTCACTAATAATAAACAATATTTGACAATTTTATCAGTTCGAATATTTTATCTACTTACCTTTTGTACTGTATTTTTACATGTAAAACGAACGCATACATTGTAAAAAGAAGTACAATGTATTTGATATTTATATAAACATCATAACTATATCGCGTATCAGTTAGGTTTCTAAAAACATATAGGATAAAATGTTAAATGACGGTGTAGAAAATTGATGTACTATTATACTTAATTTTAATTATATAATTTCAATGGCGAGCCAATCTTGCTATAAAAATGAGATGAACCGATTTATTGTTAGTCTTGAAAAGTAATTAAATGATTATGAAAGTGAAATGGTTTATCTAATAAGAAATGGGCATTGTAAGATCAGAATAAAATAGTATTAAAAAGTATTAGACTGTGTTTTTCCAATGTCACGAATAAATAAGATTTTAATGAAAGAAATAAAAGAATATTTAGGATAGAATAGGCTGCTGCGTAGTGCTCAGTAATGATTTGAAAGATAAAAACTAACACGTGAGCGTTGTATTTCTATTGCCAAAGTATTACATCAAAGGATGCCATCGAGCAGTATTCAATATAGAGTTTTATAATATAATGAAAATCCTAAGCGTAAACTAACGAAAATCTTCCCGAAAACTAATGAGTCTCAGGCAAATATTGCCAAACAATAACTAGAAAATATAATTCGTGTTTTGTTGTTGTTGTTGTTGTTTGTTTTCTCAAAGAAGGTAAAGATGAACTAATTTTTCCTCTATTTTTTTGCTCGAATTTTCAGGGGTGATGTCATAATTTCAATGTTCAAATGAAAGGTTACATTTGATATAACAAGTTAGTTCAAAGGTCTATCCACAAAATTAAGGTTCGACACCCACATCCTATGTATGATTTAAAATCGAAATGTTTTCTTGACCAGTCGAGCGCTCACAAATATTGCTCATTGTACAGTTTTATATGACACCATGTTGTTGTTGTTTTTGCTTTTTTTTAAGATATTGCACAATTTGATTACCCCGAAGGTTTGTGACTCAAGTTATCATGCTTATTCATTTTAATTGAGCATATTATAAATGTATGTTTAAACATAAAATTGAATTTTGCATTTAAGATCGATAAATTACAATTTAGGGCAGACAAGTTTTATAACTATTATAAACTTATATATTCTTTGTATTAATGCTAACAATGAACAGATCATAGGCTCACAACCCTTTGCAAGACTGTTTTTGTTAATATATTGATTAGGAAGAAAAAAACATTATCTACTTCGTGTTTAAAGTTTAAACCTTCAGTCGTATGAACGTTGATGTTTCAGATATATCTTCAACCAAGAATGTTTTCTTCTATGTTCACAAAGGGCAATAATTCAGTCAAAATCTAAGTCAGAGTTAAGGGCTTTGAACAGAAACTGCCAATGATGGTCACAAAGACATGCATTAAGTTCCAAATGAATACCTTCAGTAATTCAAAAGATTAATGTTGCATGCAAAACGTTTACCAACAGTTCACAAAACATTCAGTCAAAATCCATGTCAGTGATAAAGGCCTTGAATTGCAACCCCCGATTATTATCCTGAATGATATTGAGCTAGAAAATTATAGTTGTATTGTCTGTTCTTATTGGTCAAGTTTGTTTTTATTATCCTATTATCTTTATTGTCATTTGAAATGAGAGGGGAGGTTACTTTTAGCAGTATTTTAGGGGCAACTGACTATGTCATAGCAACAGTTTGGGTTCAGCTTTATCATTACAAGCAATCAACTCACTGTATCACCGTAGGGAACGTGTTACAGTATCGCGTTTTTCGGTTACAGTATAGAATTTTCAAGATGGAGGATTATTTATGGGAAGCGAGGTAGGTGATTTTTATTCAGGTCCATACTACAAGTAGTTTAATTTCTAAAAGTTGTTTTTGTGCTTTGCTTGTAAGGAACAGAATCCGGTATCTAGTCATATATTTCTTCAGACCATGCACCGCAGATTTATCTTTATATTGTCTCATAAATGTGCAGATTTGACGGTTTAAAAATTTGAATCGAGAGACCAACGCATTTTTCTCCCATTCCGACATTATTTAAGCATGCCTAGATAAAGTAAATCTACAAAACGTTAGTCCTTTGTGTTTAGAAACGTTTATAAAAGTAAATGACCAGTTGAACCTATTTTCCTGTTGGTAAAATGCGTTTGAAAAAATAAACAATGTTACAGTATAGAGCGAGGTTAATTTTGAAGGGTTACAGCATAGACCTAGCGACTTTGATCCAATTTTGTTACAGTTTATACCCAGATTTCGGTTACAGTTTAGATACTTGCCAAATTTCAAACAAAGTTCGTGTATCCATTATTTTTATGAAATAACTCATACCTTTCTATTTAATACATTCTTGAAAGGTTGTATTACTTTTTTTCTTCAGCAGAAAAGTTATAGTTTGCTATTTTTCTTACTTTAAGTTTCAGATTGAGACTTTTTGCAGTTATGTCCTATGTAAGGACTGTTTTCACGACAACAACAGTAACTTTACGTCCATCAGGCTCACTAGAGAAGATAGTGTAATTGTCTGACCTTAATTTATACTCTATAACTTTCAATATTATTTTCTTTTTCAGAAACATGAAAACTGCTATACACGATGTCTGAAATAAAAATAAAAAAGGCCTTTTAATTTAAAAATGACAAAATAAACGTAACTTCAACAAAGAAGCATTCGAAATGACGCCATGATCATGATTTGATTTGAATGCTTTTGGTTCGATATGAGAAGGGTCTTTAAACATTGCCTTTTTTCAAAATCTATGTTTTGGGTTTTTGTATCCCCGATTGCAACCGAAACCATTTGAACAACTAATTGGTAGAAAGTCATGTAAATTTCATCACATTTAGTCAAGTAGTTACTGAGCGGATGAGATTGCACACACATGTGTAAGACAGACGGACGAATACGAGCCATCGGGCCAATAAGCTCACAGAGATTTAAAAGTCTATGTAACATTCATACATTTTACCTAGTATATATAGAAAATATCGAAGTCTAAACTGTAACCGAAATCTGGGTATAAACTGTAAGAAAATCAGATAATAGTCGCTAGGTCTATGCTGTAACCCTGCACAAATCACCTCGCTCTATACTGTAACATTGTTTATTTTTTCAAACGCATTTAACGAACAGGAAAACAGGTTCAACTGGTCATTTACTTTTATAAACGTTTCCTAACATAAAGGACTAACGTTTTGCAGATTTCCTTTTTCTAGGCATGCATACATAATGTCGAAATTGGAGGAAAATGCGTTGGTCTCTCGATTCAAATTTTCAAACTGTCAAATCTGCATATTTATGACAATATAGCGATAAATCTGCGGTGCATAGTCTGAAGAAATATATGACTAGATACCGGATTCTGTTCCTTACAAGCAAAGCACTAAAACATCTTTTAGAAACTAAACTACTTGTAGTATGGACCGGAATAAAAATCACCTACCTGTCCTCCAAAAAATAATCCGGCATCTTGAAAATTCTATACTGTAACCTGGAAAACGCGATACTGTAACACGTTCCCTACGGTGTGTATGGATGTACCTTATCAAATCAAGTTTGAGCTAGGTTTTGATATTGACAAGATTGTCTACCTTGATAGATATTTGGATACATGTATATTTGATCATATATTGTACATAGCAATCTTGTTAACTAGACTCTTTCTTTGCAGATAAATTAATAAGAGAAATTTGCTTTTCTTTTTTAAAGAAAACCTTTATTTGATATAACTCAAGAATATATATTTAAACGATAACATACATAACAAAAACATAACTTTCGTTTTACATAAATTATATTGTCAAAAAATGACTATAATGTGTCAAATAATGTTGCTTTTGTAACCCTACACATTTAATCATGAACAAAGAAACTCTGCATTGACAATTTTCAGCACATTTACTCTGTAAAACAAAATTACTTTGTCTGTAGGCAACACATTTCAATGATGTACAGGGACCTCTGTGTTGGAATATTTAGCCATTGTTCAATGTATTTTGAACAGACCAACTAGCAGATTGATTTGAACAATCATGATATAACAAAAACATCACGCTTACGCCAAGGCTATTCTTCATCACTTGAAAGCTCTTCGTCTTCACTTGAAAAATCTTCGTCCTCACTCGAGACATCTTCATTCGCACTGTTTATTTCAACGTTAAGCTTACTTCTTAGTTTTAGAATCTCCGATTTCTTCATTTTAGCATAACCGCAGTATGCAGTCAGCATGCCTTCTATGATCAACATTTGGTTGCGCAGTGAGTACCGGAAGAGCTTATTGTTGTTATCTCTTGCCGACATGTAACGTTTATTGATCTCGTCTAATTTTGCATTCAGCTGAAGTATTTGATCACATGCCCGCTGAAATCTCACCATTTCGATATTATGCTGGTGATAAATTTGGCTCTTCGTCTCCATTGTCAATATGCAATTAGGATATATTTTTAATTAATTAGGTATTGCAAAGATTGTAATTTGGTTAATGTTTATTACCAAACATATTACTTACTTTTATAGGTAAGGTAATTGGCGCATTAACCTAATTATGATTTAATTAACTCAATATTGAAATCCCATCAAACTTTCAGGTTAAAGGTGTGAAAACACTCAAACGGACACACGCACAGGACATATTTGGTAAGCTGTGAAAATTTCAGTCACTAGTAGTACGCACGCTGCCATTTTCACAGCTAAAAGCTAATCATTATTTATATATTCCGAAGTATTTATATGTCTTTTCTTTCAAGTAGCTAAAGTCCAACATAAAATTAAAGGATTCTTGCAATCGATGACGAAGCAAAACCAATTTTAATATAAAAGGTTCAAACTGTATTAACTTTATGTCACATAATGACCAGTCTTGACGGAAATTTTAGGCCAACTATAAGCAAGATAAGTTAAACATGTATGTTGTATGTATTATCATTTGTTCCTTTAAAGTGACTAAGTCGGACGGAAAAATAATTTGCAACAAAACTGGAGAAATTGGTAGTGTCGCGGTGCCCCCCCCCCCAAAAAAAAATAAAAAATAAAAAAAATAAATAAATATATTCATCATCATCATTATCAATATTGTTATTAAAATCATCACTATCACTATTATATATCACCATAATCATAATTAAAACGTACATCATTTTATTATTATTATCGTTATTATTATTATTATTATTATTATTATTATTATTATTATTTATTATTATTATTATTATTATTATTATTATTATCCAACAATTTTAACCTGGCACTCTTGCATTTGACCCTATATTCGGGAAATCCCGTAAACGTTACGATATCCTTGTAAATCGATAAAAGACACATATGACTAGTTGTTAAATGTTGTAACTTAAGAATTGAACCAGAAACCTTCAGATCGGTAGCCCGGCACCGATATAACAAATACGTCAATATACTCGTTAGATACCAGTGTTTATCCAATGACCTTTACGAAAGTTAATTAAGTGCCAGGTCAATATTGTTGGACAATACTACAAAAATCATCCTCACTTTCTCCTTTTTATCATCATTGTCACAGTAACAATAAATATTATCATCATCACCAAAAACCTCCTCGCAATAGTCATCAACAGGAGTATCACCGCAATCATTACAATCGCTGCCATCAGCACCTACATTACCATCACCATTAATCACCATCATCATCATCATCATCATCATCATTATTATGACTGGCTTCGTAATGACCAACAACATTATTTTCAACATTTTCATCATTATCTTTATCATAGCCAATATTTTCATAACATCATCATCATCATCATCATTATTATTATCATCATCACCATCATCTTATCATCATCATCATCATCATCATCACCTAAATCAACATCATTATCATCCCCGATGCCAGCTCCATTACTACCAACAACATAAAAATCATCATCATAACCTCCACCAATATCATCATCATCATCATCATCATCATCATCATCAGCAGCAGCAGCAGCAGCAGCAGCAGCAGCCGCATCATCATCATCATCATCATCATCATCATCATTATCATCATCATCATCATCATTATCATCATCATCATCATCATAATCATCACAATCATCACCTGCATCATTATCATCATCAGCAACATAATCATCATCATCATCATTACCATTATCATCATCATCATCATCATCACCTAAATTAACATCATTATCAACCCCGATGCCAGCTCCATTACTACCAACAACATCATCATCATTATCTCCACCAATATCATCATCATCATCATCATCATCATCATCACCATCAACCCCGATGCCAGCTCCATTACTACCAACAACATCATCGTCACCACCACCATCACCACCACCAATATCATCATTACAACTTAATTACCACCACCAACATCTTCATCAATTCAGGTGTCATCATGATCATCTTTGTCATCGTCATCATTATCTTTTCCAGTTCTGTATTTCAGCCGCGTCACGACAAAACCAACATAATGGGTTTGCGACCAGCATGGATCCAGACCAGCCTGCGCATCCGCGCAGTCTGATCAGGATCCATGCTGTTCGCTATAAGTTTCTCTACTTGTAATAGGGTTTGTAAGGGAACAGCATGGATCCTTATCAAACTGCGCGGATGCGCAGGCTGGTCTGGATACATGCTGGTCGCAAACCCATTATGTTTGTTTTGTCATGACGCAGGTCATTTATTATCATAAACACCATCATTACCTTTATCATTTTAAAGAAATATATCTTTAAGTAATTAAAATTTATGTATAAAAATCCCAACTTTTACTTTAGATAAATTATATTTCATATAATAAATATTATACAATCTTTTGAAATAAACAGATAATTTAAATATATGTTGGAAATAACAAACATGTTTACATTACAAGTTTCACAATGGATACAATAGTTACGCTCATAGGGACTTGTAATTATTCAAGTATTTATCTACTTTAGATAATTAAGGAAAATTAGATATTATAGTATATAATTGTATGCGAAATAGTACAAAACAAAAGTGTCTAGACAGTTGTACATGTAACATCGTTTATATTCTTAGAAACTAAGTTATAATTAGAATGCTCATGTTTTTCACGAGAATGTCGTGCTTCATATAAGAGTTGAATTTCTAAAGAGGCCCTCCTGAGCAATATGTAATTTAAAATCGAATTGATGCACCGGCCATCTGTAACTAGAACGTTATCATGGTTTAGATAGTGAGATGGGATAATTTCCGCTAAATTCCTCATACACTAGAACGCTTGGCATATCCCAGTTATTTAACTGTGTGGTGACGGGCGGAAGTTATATTCTAAGCTCATTGCCCTTAATTATCCTAAAGCTCCTCCGTGACAGGACATTCATACAGTTATCATTTACTGGTGCTGAATAGGTTTTCAATAACATAGAAATAAACTATGTTTTTTGTGATATTATGTCTGTAAACCAACGCTAAGAATCTAAATAACAAAAAATTTCAAACACAAACAATTAAGAAATATGGATGTACCCTTTATAGAGCTAAAACAAAGGCATTTACACCAAAATCACAATTTCAATAACTCGAATTGTTAAATATATTGTAGTATTGGAACAATAAATATGATTAATGTCTATGAATATCAACCGGGAAAAAGTCCAATTCTGTGAAAGAGCCAAACACTTTAGTCATTCATTTTTATATTTTTTATTTGAGGTATACTCTAGAGAAAATTCCATTACGTTTACTTCAAATTTCTCTTTTACAGCAATGCCAGATGCAGAAGTGAAAAAGAAGGACGTTATTATACAACTTAAGTAATATAATTGTATACATAAAACACCCTTCGGTTTAATGCGCTCGGGCCTCATTGTTTGTAAATACGGGTATAAATACTGGCAGCGTATTCTTCTTGGTCAGACGACATAATGCAGCGTCAAATCGTCATTCTTTTGTGCGTGGTCTTTTTATGCGTTGTTGATAGCCGCAATACGGAAATTAAAAGACGCAGTTTTCTTCAAGGTAAGTGATTTTTTACTGTTTTTAATGCATTTATAGTACACCCGTAGATAACAAATGCTATTCTATTTTTAAATAAGCCTCTACTTTGTTGTGTTTGTTTCCTTTTTTGAAAATTAAATTTACTATACCAAGATTAAAAGGGGCTTAATAACCGGACAGAGCATGCATCCTACTGCGCCCCAGTTGATTTGTTGCACAAAACAAGTGTGGCTTGACAGACTTATAAAAATTAAATAAAAGAACACTTTTTTTCTTAAACACTGTTAAAGGCCCATTATGTCTTAGATATGCTATCATTTATGCTTCTCAAACTTTTTATTTTTGATATCTTTATACAGTTTCTAAAACATTGCTTATTTGCTATATGTAGATGACTTTCGTCTGCTTCTTTTGTTATTAATAGTAGCTGGTATAATTTTAGTAAATAAGTATTTGAGCCGTGTCACGACAAAATCAACATAACATCCGCGCAGTCTGATCAGGATCCATGCTGTTCGCTTACAAACCCTTTTACAAGTAGAGAAACTGATGGCAAACAGCTGGATCCATGCTGGTCGCAAACGCATTACGTTGGTTTTGTCGTGACGCGGCCCATTTTGTATGGAAGGCAAAATACATTACTACTACTTTACATTTGGCTACCTTTATGGCACATTTTAAACACGTGTTTGACATTTCTAAAGAATTGGAAAGTATGGATTTCTCAGGCATAATGTGTCGTTTTTTCTTTTTAAAGATTTATCTAAACATTTTATTGTTTTGCTTTTAGAAAAACTTAGTCAAGTGCTAGCGTTGTCCATGCTCGACCGAGGTTCTTGTTATAAATTTATTGTTGCCCTAGAAATCGATAGGCTTAACTTGTAATTAAGATTGTTTATTCGAAAGTACCTGGGCTAATGTTGTATCGGCTTTAATATTTTGTACATAAAAATCATGACGGCGATGTTATGACTTGCAGGTCATCATTATTCCTTGACATCTTTACATTGTTAAGAATAATAGTTTATTTGTATTGTGTATGTATTTATTTTTAAAAAGTGTATAGGGAACTCGCACCAGTGTCTCTGGAAGTAACGACCGAGGAGCCCACAACGACAGAGGGCTACCCGTCTTCCCCAGATAATGAGGTTCCTGATGTCGACATTCCAGAAATAGATTATGAGAACTGGCCATATGCCATGATGGAATGTAAGTCAATTATCCTTGTCGTTCAAAAGTTTTTAATTTAAATCTATAAAAATACAGAATTCTTTGATTAAAATATTATAATTCTGTAAAAAAAATAACTTAACTTTAGACCAAACAAAATTTAGTTCTTGTTCGTTGGATGCGGCGCCCATATTTTATGGAAAATCATTTTTTACCAACCGAAACTGAAAAAGAACTCTAGCCGGTTAAAAGTCGTCCTGCATCTCCATTTGAAGATTAAAAGGATTTAATAAAGCGTTATTTTATGAAATATTATTTAATGTTGACAATAAAATCTTATTGGTTCCATAAGCTTAGATTAATGGTCGATGCACAATGGTTGTTACAAATATATTTTATTACCAAGCCAGAATGTTGTTTGTAACCAGCAAAATCAAAGATCCACAATGAACCAAATTTAGTGTCCCTTAACCTTGAGAAACCAATGCATGCCCCTCTCCTTCCCCAGATACCAGATAACTTAAACAGTTTCGACGGATATAGCAATTTATTCTGTCAATGTATTCCAGATCTTCCAGCATCTAAATGTTAATCTTGCTGTTCTTGTCTCAAAATCAAGAATAAGTAAGATTTGCAGTTTGTAATTTTTATCTGTATAGTTTATTTGTATGTAAGAATCTTCTTGAGAAAACCATTAGAGCGTTTTTACGGTTTTAGTATATAACGGAGGTTCTACGCTACGAATCTGATTAGAATTTACCATAATGTTAAAGAAACGGCTTAATTACCAGTTTATTAATTTTAAATTTTATAAAAAAGTTCACTATATTAAGCTTAAGGGTCAACGTGACATGAAACTCAATTAGAGAACTAATTTACATTACTTTGTATATTTAGTTACAAGTCTGATTGGTAGATGTATAACATCACGAGCTGTAGCCCAGATGATGCCCAACAGACGTAAGTTATTATCATTGGCAAATATTTAATTAGCTTGTATATTGTTGCCAACCATTATGATCGATTAGATTTTACGTCTTTGAGTTTCAGACATAACCAACCACAAATACCTTATCAGAATATATCAGATATACATTTTATTTCAATTGTTTATCATTTAGTATATTTAAAATACTTATGGAAAATGTGCTCATTATAGACCAATCCAATCAATATATTACATATAAAGCACCGATACTTATAATGTGTAACATTGTTGCTTGTTGAAAATCAGCCTTTAATATGCATGTAATATGCATTTGTGTACCATAGCATACATATGTGTATTTTGTATATCTTTTTACAGCAAAAAACAAATTTCTGACTGAATCTTGCCCACTTATATTACAAGCTCTCGAATCTGTAAGTAGAATGTTTTTATTTGTTTTGACAAAATCCTTTCCATTCATTTCAAAGTTTTTTTTAGGATTGGCTGTGACTAAATTGCAACGAGGTAAAATTGTCGCAATAACTAACATGGGAAACCATTCCTTCACTTACTTTTTTACGGTATTTTCATATATCTGTGGACATATATATTTTCAAAAGTGTTTCTAAATATTGTTAACAGAAGTAGTAGTTGAAGATTGGTAAAGATTTGAAAATGTGGTCTTAAACATGAATATTTAACTATGCTATATGCATAGGACACAATGTTAGGCAAATAGTTTTTCCTGTTGCAGCGTCATTTTAACTAAATTTTGTTGGTGCGCCATAAAACAAAACAAAACATGCACAAATTCATTTCCACATGTATCGGATATACATAAAATGTTTTCATTCGTAAGTTTGAAATAAAGATAATTCATTTTGTATCATGTTCATTTATATCTTATCAGGAGTCGAAAGAAAGCGTTAAAGACAAAATAAAGGAATTTGGCGAAGAGAATTTCGGTGTTTTACAATGTAAGTAGTGAAATTCATACCCGAAATAGATTATAGATTATGGTTATTAGTTTCGTGGTAGCGATTTATAACGCATGATTTATCATTTACAGAACATTTTATTGCATACTACTCAACTTTTGCTAAGCATCATAAGTTAAGTTTTATATTATTACAAATATTAAACAGATTTCTTTCCAATTTCTGAAAATTCTGATTCAGCAATGTTTTGAAATAATCCCCTGACCTGAATCAATGTTGACTTATCCGTTACAACTCGTCTTGGTAGCATGGAAAGCATGCACCCCAATTATTTTCATGTTTTTGATCGTGTGTACAATCACAGGGTCTTTTGTTATACGCCGACATTACCGGTTTATTGTCATTCAGTGGCTTACATTTCTTACATATGTCCCTTTGATTTGGCGAATGCTAACATTATGCGGAATTTTAGAGAAGCAGAGTAATGGACGGCTGTAGGAATGGTGCAGCAGGGGGCCACTTTCCGCCAGGTTGGTGCGGCGCTTGGTGTACACCACGTCGTCATCACCAAAATCCTGGAGAGATACAAGATACATGGTACACCCACCAGGGGACATGCTGGAGATCGGCAAAGTGTCACAACACCAACCCAAGATCGATTTTGGTCGTTCAGACACGCCGTTCAAGGTTTTCTACAACAACTTCTTTTTGAAATGACCTTGCTAATGCGCGGGGATCTGTTGGTTTCACGCATACGGTACGTAGAAGGCTGCATAAAGGTACTTTAAGATCAAGAAGACCTTGCATACGTATCCCCTTGACGCATCGACATCACCAGGCCCGTTTTAAATGGACTATGGAGCATACAAGGTGGACCATGCAACACTGGAGACAGGTTCTTTTCTCTGAGGAAACCATGTTCCACATAGACTTCAGATAGGCGTGCTAGAGTCTGAAGAAGACGAGGTGAACGGTTTCAAATTGAAAAAATTATGTGCCTGACCGCTACGCAGGTGGCATCAGTTGGGATAGACGAACCGAAATAGAGGCACATTGACAGGTCAGCGATACAAAGACGACATCTTACATAACCAGGTTAGGTTGTATGCTTGAGAAAGCGGCGATCAGTTCATTCTAATGGACGATAATGCTCGCCCCCAAAGGGCCAGGATGATCCAAGACTACCTAGAGAGGGAGTCTATTGAACACATGGATTGGCAAGTTCGCTCACCTGACTTAAATCCAAGAGAACACATGTGGAATGAGCTGCAGCTTAGAATTGCAGCTCGTCAGCTGCAACCCAGAACCATCTAGGAGCTTGGAGCCATGTTGGTCCAAGAATGGGCAGCTATACCCGTTAGAACGATCAGAAACCTTATAATTTGTATGAGAAGGCGCTACCAAGCTGCCATTGATAGTTATGAATCACAAACACGGTATTAAGTCTAAAACTGTAAACAGAAATTCCAATTTAACAAATTTGCAAAACACTGTTCAAGTTCTTAAATCTTCAAAGAGGGGTGTCACCCTCTTCTCTAGCAAAAAATCAGTGTAAAACTCATTTATAGGGTAAAATTGGTCCTTCAGCTGAATTGATAAAACATTTAATCAACATTTAAAACCCTTTGCACGGAGTTTATAGAATTATCCCAAAAATATTCACGCTCAATCATATGGTGCTTAACAAAAGTTGAGTAGTATATACATATCGTTAATAAGTTTTTTACAATTGTTTGTGATATTTAATATATAAATTAGGTTTATACAAACATTAAGGGTATCTAACTATAATGGACTAGCTTGTTTTCGAATAACAGTGCTATTGACGCATGCTTTTGTTAAATTAACTGTTAATAATTAAAAAAAATAAAAATCAAGCTTTCTGTTTTGCACGACAGGTGCAAACCTTCTTGCTGAAAGGGAAAATGTAGAATCTGTTCTGAAGATGTCGTCTCTTTCCAAGAAAACTAGGCATTTTAGGCCACCAGGTAAAAGCACTTGATAGACATTTTGCATAAAATTGCTTATACAATTGAATTTTTGAAGTTGCTTCTAGTTTAATAAAGTATATTTTTGTAGTAATTAATTTCATAGAAACATTAAAATTTCTTTTTAAAATAATAATTGAAATGAACTATTTGTCATTAAAATTCATTTGTTACTTTAACTTTAACAACAATATGAAATATGCTTTTGTGTTTAAGATTTATTTGAAAGGCATCACTTTACTTACCCTTAAGTTACTAAATGTACTCAGCGTTTCGAATTTGCAATTTCGCATAGCAGAACTGAGAGCTGAATCTTCACCAAAATGTGAGTGGTCAATCGAAGAAATGTCAAATGTCCTGTTTGAGGAGGCGAAAGATCTATATGAATTGTGTGAGAGAACATTGGCTGACGCTATTCAATCTCCAGAAGAACTTCAGAAAGGAACAAAACCTGAAAAACGTTTTTTTGCTTACTGGAGCCTTGCTAGCATGTTGGGGATGGTAAGCTTTATTGAAGTTTGTTAATCTAAGCTCATGTAAATGTTCAAAATTGAAATTACTCATTGTACATATTCCCTGTTACCCTTTACCACCCAAATAACTCCCAAATGCAAGGAAGTTGACCTTGTTACCTTAGGATTTTATACAACCCTTATTTTTTTATTGGCCCATCAGAATAATATGATACTAGTATAGATTCTTCTACAATTACATTCGTATAGAAACGTTGTCTATTGGCCTTAAGGTCAATGTGGTAAATGCAAATATATGTATACGTTTCACTTACCATTGTTGCCAAGTTTTTCTTTCAATTTTATGGCCAATGTCTTTCAAATGCGTTATTGTTTGACAATAACAAAAATTGTCGATACTTTTTAAGTTAACTGTGTTATCAATTTTCTTTTTGCAATCTCCCTACCTATAATTGAAGGGGTATGGATGTTTGAAATTGGATCGGACCATGTGTTTACCAAAAAGTTTCTAGTGCTCTTTTCGAAGAAAGACTCGGAATGAAACTTTTCGTAGCTCCTTGATAACATTATTTCTCAAGAATCAGGACTATTCTTGTAGCTTAAATATCTAACATCGTGCCGAGGTCAGATTTCATGTTTACTTTGTATGTAATCCATTTTGTGATGTTTTCTGCTGAAGCATTTTATATTTTAAACGCTTTCGGCATTTTCCTTTTAATGTTTTGTTTGTTTTGATAATTAAACGTTTGTCTTATGAATTAAGGTATCTCGAACAGACATGCAAACATAAAAAATTGTTACTGCTTTATTATAATATAGGTTAATCAAACATGTATACTATCTTATTTCAGTTTTTATTAGGGTAAGAGGATCCCCGTCTACAATCTACAATTTAAAGTATCGACTGCCGCCTTCACTGTCATCGTTTCATGTTTATGTGAAAAAAAAAATTAAAATCACTTAAAATTTCTTGGCTTTATTGTTATATACCACATAGACAGTAAACAAGTCTTTTAATATTTCTTTATCTAGAATCACTTTGTTGGTGTTATCCTCAAATAATCTCTGGCCAATCTATTAACTGAAAGATATCAGTACGAAACTTGCAATACTTGATTTTGTACTTATATTAAACATATTCTGAAACCAATATATTTGGATTCAGAAGAATGTTTCATATCCAGTACAAAAGTACGTTAAAACTTTGTGACAACACGAAACTTAATTACCAATTATCATAACAATTTGCATGGATAATGGCTAAAGTTTTACAACTTGACTTATATTTAATGCAGTCTATCCCTTTTTGAAAAGAACTCGAGCGGCGATTCGCTGGAAACGTTTTCATTTATTGTAATGCAATACAAATAAAAACTAATGCATTAAATGTGTGTTTATCTTAAACTACCTTTTGCATCAATTTCAGTACTTTATTTCAAAATTTAAAAGCACATAATGCCTCAGAAATGAATTACTTATTCCTGTTTTAGAAAACGGCAAACATGCGTTTTTAAATGTTAAATGTTTTAGAGCATGTTAGATACAAAACACAAAGGTAGTAGTGAATGTGAAATTATTCGCATTAAAAGTAGCAAAATTGAAACACAGTATTTTGACTTGAATACAAGATATTTGATTAATATAACCGTACTTATGGCGAAAAAGCAACAGTAAGAAAAGATGGTTAAAAAATGGACAAAAGGAAACTGTTTTTAGATTATAACAAGGTACCCAAAAAAAGCTTTTGAGAAATCAATGCATACATAGAGCACAATGGGTCTTTAGTTTATACAAATTTAAATTAATTCAATTGTGCTGGAAGCTATAAGCTTATTGAAAACACTCTCGAATCCGTTCCTTTAACCAACCAGTACTAAGCAATGAATGTAAAGTTTCTTGCTCAAGGAAACAACGGCTTGCCCCTGTCAGGGTTTGAACCAGCCTTTAAAGGATTATTATGTCCCAGTAGTTAAAGTTCTTCCGAGGGTAAAATACACAAATGGTTCAGATAATTCTACAAACGAACCACTTTATATCTTACCCATGTTATTTCATCGAGACCCTAAGCTCAACAGAATTAAGGTTTTGAAAATGGCCTCTAAGATGGCGGCGCTGAATTTTATTTACTATTCCATACTCGTATATCTATGTTGAAACTACCAAACTATTATAATTATTCTTATCATTTTTGTTAAATATACAAGCGTAAACATTGTAAATTGACCGGTTTCTCTTACATTGATATTGTACGAAACAATTTTAGATATTTCATAGTCGTAAAATGTATATAAAAATAACCCCGAATTTATTACCCAAAACAATTTCACTTTCAATGGTGCTTCAAATGAGCCTTCCAGTATATAAAACAAACATTTGTAAACCAGTTTATGGTATATTTTACCATATATAAATACACAAGTTTGCTACACCTATGACGCGAAAATTGGGTGGGGTACACATACACTATTGCAAATAATGGTAATGACAAACGCTACCTCTGTGCAATCCCAACACTATCTCTAAAGTGAATATAAATGATTTGAAATTCTACAGATGTTTAACAAAATTGCAGATTAATTTATGAAATGTAAGTAAAATTTCTCATTTTCATGTCATGTCTTCAAATTAAGATAAAACACACACACACAAATATATTCCTTTTCATTGGTATCTGTGACATCTTTTTCTAAAGTTGATCAAATTCAATTAGAGATTGTTGATTTCTTGCTGTAGTCTGATTTAAAAACTCTTCTTCTAATATAATTATTCAAATGCGTTTTAAAAGCAGTTTCTAAAGATAAAGGAAAACAACTAAATTTTACTTTAGAAAAGGGATAGCACTGACCCTGAAAATTACCGTCCAATTTCACTTACAATCAACTTATGCAACATATTAGATATAATGGTAGTTAATCGCCTGGTTAGGTATAAGAGGTTAAATGAATAATTACTAGTTTTCGCTCATGAATGTCCGTGAACAACAGTACAATTATGATGTTCACCTCAAATCTTTTATTGGGAAGCACTTGGCTTCTAATTTTTTATCTTGAAAAAAAAACCTTATGATGCTGCATGGAAACATGGCATTCTAAAAATATAAAGGATACAGTATTAAATAGTAGACTTCCGATCCGATCTTTATTTCTAGCCTTCGTGACGATAGAAACTTTAAAGTAAGATTCAGTTCAACTGCTGTGAAAAAGCTTTCTGTTTAAAATGCAGCTAAGAGTATCATCAAATAGTAAACATCCTGCTAGAAAAGTTAAATTTAAGCTAAAGTACAGCGACAGTATTCTTTTTAACCAACTTAAGAATGTTACCCTTCGTGTAAAAGATAGTTAACTTAAAGAAAAACTTAAAGGAACTCCACTGAGGTTTATAAGCCTAAAACATAATAATCATTTTAATTGTTTCACATAGATAAGCATGAGCACTTTAAGCAGAAGTATAAATAAAATATAACATAAAAAATCACAAATACATAAAAGATTGAAAATCATGTTTGTGCTATTCTCAGTCCGATTTGAGTGAAAAGCGTTTTTAAAAACGTTTTTCAATTTTGGGTCATTTTTCACTATAATAATTATAATAATTATTCTGGAAAAACGGAGCAAGCTAATGACATAAGTTATTAGTATAGATCTACATCAAATGGAGTAATAATCTCAAAAAAATATTTCCAGTCAAGTCATGTCAAAAAACCTCGGTGGAGTCCCTTTTAAATAGACCCAAAATATATTCTTCAAAATGTAGATGTTTCTCTGTAAACTTAAATTCTCCAGAAGTTATTTAGTCTTTCAAATTGAAAATAAGTCATCAAATTCTCCTGAAATTTTTAAAGAACTCTTTTCAAAATTCAAATAACTTGTAGATTTAATTCATATTTACAAGGACGATTCCATAGATGGTTGCAAAGTAGGTGCATGACGTCTTAGAAAATCATTTTACAGAGAAGGAAACTACCTGATAATGCATCTATTTTGCTGAAACAAAAACTATTGATTTAGCCTTGTCAAACACTTAAAAGCATAATAATGTTTACCTACCGGATATTTTGTTAAAAGCGGTCTAATAAATCACTTACCGACCGCTTAACAGGTCTGCAAATATATACCGACCTGTTATTGTTCTATTGTTCTCTATACAAAAGAAAATATGTGAAGTCGAGAAACTCGTGCATTTCACAATATTCACCGTAAACGCAGAAATTTTGAAAAAAATAACGCTGAATTGTGCAAATTTATATGGGGGAATAATGACCACTTTGAACAGTAAAAAAGGTCGATATATATTTTAGAGTACATTTGATCACATTAATAGAATACAATTAGCGCATACGACTGTAAGGACCCTCATAACATGAATTATATTCCAGATTATTTGTGAGAAAAACGAACTGGCTACTGTTCTGGCGATGAAGTTTGTGTTTCGCCGATATTAATGAGTACAATAACGCACATTTAGCCTTTCTTTATAGTTTGCTTTTCGGTATACCTAACACATTTGCCGAACTATATAACTTCATAAGATACTAGTTTTCACGGGGGAGGAAGTGTTACACGAAGGATGGAGTTCTTATGATAACTTGTTCAGGAATTCATGTGATAACTGTCACGGAGTTTGTCGAAAAACATCTGTATATACTACAAAAACACTCGTCAAAAATGGTTATTTTCATCGTTCGAAAATGAGTTTTAGGTGCTAAATTAAATCTTAATGATTAAGCTTGTCTTACATCTTGTATTATGTGTCAAAAACTAATTTACAGGCCATTTTTAATCGCGTCTTGCTGCAAATCTGGTAGTTTTCAGTAAAATTTCCAAATTACTTGCCAATTCAAAAGTATTGACCGGTTTATTTCTGGTCTTATTGACGAGTTTGTAAAAAGTTGCAAGTATATTTACTTGAAAAACGATTTTATAATTTGTAAAGCACTTTTGCATTCAAACACTTGGGGAAATATGTTTCTAACTTATGTATCCAGTATGTCAATCGGCATAAAGGTAAAGTCATCATGTGAGTGATCTTCGGAATTGAAATGAATTGCAACATTAGAAGAAAAATTGGGATGACAATTACTTCTTATATCAAATTTATGGCTGTTCATTCTTTTTGATACCTGTTGATGGGTTTGGCCGACATACTGTATTTTACATTTTTTACAAGTAATTAAATAAATCACGTCACTAGAAGTACAATTGCCATCAAAAATGCATTTCGAATGTTTCTCCAGTATTTGTACTTGTTTATTTACTATTTTCTTCAATATTTTTACAGTGAGTACATCTTTTTCTATTACACGTATTAGTTTTATCGTTCATATTCCGTTTATTTAGAGTTGAATGGGTGAGGGAATCTTGAAGATTTTTTGGACGGGTGTATGCTAAGATTTGTTTATGATTATGTAAATTTTTAACACTGTCATTTTCTGACAACATTAAAAGATCCCAGTATTTATTTATTATAAGACCAAGATGGGGAAGAGACGGATTATATTGGATAACAAATGGTATGATTTTTTGCTGCTCTGTTATATTTTGGTTATTTTCCAGGGCTTCTTCTTGGGTTGAATATTCCAAACATGAATGAAATTCTAAGAATATTTAAAAATCAGCCATCATAAAAAAACAACAACAAAAAACACCAACTAACATGACGGTATATATATGTATTACTAATATTTATTCATTTACTTTCCTTTGGAAAAAAATCGTATATTTCAATTATATTAGAAATAGCCTGATCTATTTACCATGAAATTTATTACAAATAAAGATAAAGTGTGCCGTTTTTTATTATAAAAAACTTTTTTATCTTCCTCAATATTTATATATATTATTAATATGTTATGTATTCATATATCAAAATAATGATTTTACATTTCCTACCCGACAAGTTCTGTTTTCATTTTCTGTGACTCAACTCAACAAGTACATTACCTGACCTTATTACATAATGAAACCCCAC